TTTGTTGATCATATGTGACACTGGCTGTGATAAAAGACATAACACTGTATGCTGGGAACAAAATTATGTTTATTTATATAAAAATCAATCAATTCCATGTAAAAATTTAGAAAGGTATAGATGATGATGTACACCATGAATTACCACATAGTATTGAAAATAGAAAGACATTCAGTGTTTTATAGTAGAAAAGGTTTAAAACATACCAAGTTCAGCAACGTGCCATGAGAAAAATGTCACAGACCTGTTGTCTACCTTTCATTTAAAGTATTTTTATATTCTCCCCTTATTATTTCCTTTTGCACTAGAGCACAGCCTTTTCAGTCATGACAGTTTCATCCATTTTATTGAAAGAAAGGTAAATAGGCATGTAGAAAAAACCGAAATATTAAAAAAAATAAATAAAAAAAAAACAGTTCAGAAGTTCAGGAAAATTGACGTCGGAATAACTTTCCGCTTGATAATAACATTTAAGCCATTTTGAATAGCCTGCTTAACGTGATACTATACCATTTTATGCTGTTATCTGGTAAGAATCGATTGCCAACTGTAGTGGCCCTCATATATACCAAATTACTGATTACCTTAAATACATACGAGATGATGAAAAAAACATATTCAACCTTTACTTCGTCTGCGTCCTAACAAAACTACAGAAAATCGCCAAATTTTATTGCAGGGAATGAAACAATTGCTCTGATTGGACAAAACTACAAAAGTTATATCATCAATTATACCATCGCATGATCACTAGTGATGAACAAGGATTTCCTCTATCAGCATATTATTGAATGAGTTACGAATTACCTAATTACTTCCAAAATGTTTACAAAGATGAAAATAGTTCCATGTGCTTAGTGCGTCACAGTAAAGTAGATATTCATTATAATACTCCAAAAACATGAAATAACAGCAATGATAACACGTTTTATGTAAGACATTCAACTGAATAGAGGATACACACATTCGCACATTTTCGCCGCATCTCTTTCATGCAAAATAAATCGAAAGCATAACACCTTGTGATAATGAATTTCCACTCAGCTAGAATATACGTACATATATCCATTTTTGATAATTCCTTGTACATTATCCGTTAATAATCACACTTTATTTCCGGTCTATATGAACGTCTCAAATAAAATCTGCAGTTCTGAATTAAAAGCAAAAGTATTTTAAACGAATTAATATGCATAGAAGTTACACATCGCGTGGTTGTCGTTATATTGCAATCTTTTCACTCAAGCTAGCAAGTTTTTCATAATTTGCAAAAGCGAGCTGTATGTTTCCGTAACGTTTGGAAACGAAATAATGCCATTGAAAGGAATATCATGTATAAAAACCACAAACTTGTGTGATCTGTCTACCACAGCAAAGAAAAGGGCTATTCTGAAGTTTAATTGATATGTTCCTAATCCATGTAAATCTTATTTTGTTCGGTTGGAGTGCATGACATGAAATTTAACAAAATATATACATGATTTACAATTTCAGAAATGCACGGAGATAATGTGGCTCAATACAAATTAAAACCAGCAATAAATTGGTTTGTTATCAAAAAAAAAAAAAAAAAAAAGATATAAATCCAAATTATAACTATTAGTAGTGTCAAAAACTTAATTTCACAAAAGCAATCGCGAACGTTCTAATTTCTCTGAATGAGTGAAGTACCCTTTCGGTCAAAGTTCATCTTGTTTAAACCATGCTAAACATTTACGTTTGTAGAGCATTTGAAAGGATTCACTGCGCCTTGGGAATGAACATTTCTCATCACGTGTGATTAAAATCGGTTTTAATTTGACCTACCATTGATTAACTCAGGTAATTGTTTACAAAATACTAGAAATACTGTCGTGAAGGCCGTAATTAATGCACCCAACATTACGCAATGCACGTATGGCGTGTTGTATGAAACATTCGATCGATCCATAATGATATATTTCTGATGCAGTTTTGTATACATGAGACAGTCTTACCCTATCAAAGGACAACTACAGACGTAAATTGCAGAAACACTGTCCTTATCGCGGAGTGTATAATATAATAAGACCTGGTATCCTCATGTGTCGAACCGATCTGATAGTGTGTGTTCATTGAATTCCATTTCCATTTTGCGGGTTATATTTTCCCGATGATACTGGGTTCATGACTTTTTATATTTATTTCCATACTGCAATAAAGTCTGATCTAAATTTCACGTTGAATCCCAGTATATACAATGTATGTACAACTTATGATATAATACATATTGTTGACTAGAAGATTATTACCTACTAGTATATAGTCATATATAATTTCAAAAAGAGACAAACCATATACAGCCATGTACAGTTGATCTTACATTTCTTTTCAATCCTTGAAAGGTTACTTCTCTAAGAAAAATGCCAATGTTTTTCTGATGACATTTAGCGAAGTTGCTGGAAACATTTTCTAGGCAACATCTGGCGCTCCAGAGACAAATCTCTTTGGAAGCTCGTGTTTGTTTTTATTTCTGTAACTTGAAACGACGCCACATCCAGCTGGTGAACCTAATAATGCTGGCTACAATGTGTAGTATCTTGATTCTGGTTGTACGTAGGTTTGTTATATATGTCACAGCCTCTAAAAGAGTGTGGATGATCTGCCCTAGGGAATAGATGGCTTTTCAACGACCAGCATTACATGGGAAATGGTGTTGGCTGTCTGGTGATTCTGCCTGTCACTGTCTTTGTCTATCAAATTGTCTCTCAGTCCGGTTTTCTCGACTGTGTCGCTTTTGTTCGTCTGTATGTGTCTCTGATATCGGTGTAATGTCTCCATGATATCAATACATAGCTGTATTCAATTTCCAAATTTTTGATGCATTTCTTTGCTATGGTTATGGTAATGTGTGTCATGTTCTGTTGTCCTAGGCTCTTGTTCACCTACATGGAAACAAAAAGTGTGATTTTTTTTTCCGAAATTCTGGTACTTATGTGTTAATACACTCAGTTGTGGTTACCATTTGCTAAGCGATGTAAAACAAAACATGAAGTGTTGGCAGATAATGTAAAAATTCTTTATGAAAGATGCAGTACATATAAGTATTTGACATTTGAAATGTGATATTGTCTCATACGAACATGATTCAGCTATATCACGACCATACCTTACTTGAAAGCAAAATTTAAATAAGATATAGTTGATGCAACTATAACACCAAGAAAATGTTTCCAGGACACAGCAAAAACATCTGTACTTTTTCACGCATATTATTGCACTTAAAATGAACCGTATATCAACAAGTTATAACCATCCATGCACTCAAGCTTTTCCCACACATAGACACGATAACAAAATACCACACCGACACTCAATCTCACATTGAACGTGATATTTTTTATATAGGCGTTACGATTTGAACGACGTTTACCTTGGACGTGTTTCATCACAGGAGTGGGGCAGACGTAGACGTAAATGTACCTCACGACCGGAACCCTATTTAATGGATATGTATTTACAACTTCCGAACAGCAAATGCAAACAGCTTAATTTTTGCATGCAGTCCCCGACAAAATTAACAATGCTTATGCTATTAACGCATTTTAATTGCAAAATGTACTGAATATAAGCTTCTAATACATGTGTACGCGAGAGCATGTGTTACTATATTGGGAGGGGGTTGGTGCATGCTTATGTGGAGCGAAAGGAAAGAGCACAGAGTTGAAATGTAAAAAGGGATAACCATATATGTTCTTTTGTTCTGCATTGGATTGATAGCCAAACGATTTTAAAATGATCGACTTCTTGTGTGGAGATTTACTTAGAATAAATGTGCTGCGGCTTAGTATTGGGTGGGTGTTAGTCAATCGCATTATTATGTTATCTAACGCGTTGTCTCTGCTGTTCGGAAGGTAGAAATGGGTAATCATTGTATGAAAGGTATAAATTTTATATTTGCGATATTTAAGTCTTTTTTTAACCATTACAAGCAAGTGGGTACTAGACATTTTTTTAAAATATAATGACAAATTTGTACTTTTTTGAGGTGTGTGTTTGGAGGGGGGGGGGGCAGTTTAATGAGAGAACGAAAAGAATTCTTAACTGTTTAGTCACTACAACGTTTTGGAAGAGTATAACGAAGTTTAATGTCACAATGACTATTGAGTGGAATTCGTCAAAGATTGATGCCTCATTGCAGAACCTGTCATGATATAAAACGCCTGTATCTGATGAAGCCACAGACAAATTAATACTGCATAGACGCCATTGATACCTTGTGTCACAACCACTTGTACTATTTCAAATAGTATTTTCAAATGTCAAAGATCAAGTAGTGAAACAGAACTGCCGTCATTCTTGCTGCTCTTACAACGTTATGCCTCTTTTGTAACCAAATCCAAATATTATTGACAGTACATGCATTGACAAAACATGATTTTGAAAGATGCTATGATATGGACGGGATGTAAATTTAAGCTACTTATAGGACTCTCCATTTTCTATGTTTCCATTATCTTAATGTTGCTACCAAAATATCCATTGTACAAACACAATGTCAATTCCATTTATCTATTATTTATTTAATTATTACCTATCTGTCTATCATGCATTCAGATACTTCTGATATCGAATGTAAGCAGTTGTGAATTACCCAATGTGAAATATATTATTTACATCTTTTAATTAACAACCGTTCAATACTTTATTTATTTTTTAACCAATTTAAAATTTTGAATGGATCCCTGTATAATACTTTGACGTTATTTTGAAACACCTTGATCGATGTTACGTCAAGCATTGCAGATAACATTGTCCACACAGATAACATATATTATACTTGTAAGTCAATAAATTAGATAACTGTGAAAAAAAACTGATAAAAGTACAGCAGAAAAAATCATAATAACATTATTGACAGATAAATATTCTTAACGACTTCAATGGCCTCATCTGCTTTCTGTCACACGTACTGCAGAGCGTCCAATTGGTAAATGGTGACTATGAAAACATAACAAAAAATTACAATATGTTTATAATTATCACAAAATATTGCTATTCTCTTCCCATAAAAAGCGTTTGTCATGAAGCATGCCGGCTAATTCTTCTGTATACCTTTGGAATATTTTGTGGAGGAAGAGTTTTGTCTCTGGTAGCATTTTTCCTACCTCTTTCTTGTGTTTGGTTTTTCTTCTTACAGGTGCCTTGGAAATTTTCTTTAAATCTTTGTCTTTGAGTTCGTCTGAAAGAATGCAAAACACTATTTGATTTATATCAGACACTTACAATACCTATCCAACAGTCTTTTCAGTTAAGCAACCCGAGTAATTGTGAATCAACGCTTGCCTGAATGAGACTTTGAGACCATTTTAACATTTACAATATAAATAAAGCTGTATTTATGGTATAAACAGGTAGAAACAAGTAGGTATTGTATTGATTTATAACCGTTAATTTTGTGATATTTCCGCCTTACTGACCTTTTGTCAATGCACCTACAAATGTATTATCTGCCTTCTGGCCATTCGTATTTCACGACTAATGCATTTAGTGCTACCTCTCGTCCGCTGATCTCATCTTTTAAGTCCGTCTTACAAGAATATATAATATGATTATTTATTTAAAATACCTTTGAGGGCTTTGTTATAAAAACTTAAGTCATTTAAGACCACTTACCAACTTGTAGAAAGTTAAATATCTTACGAAGATAGAATGCCATATTGCTTGAATAATCTTCGGTACGTATAATTAGAAACTGTTCCCTCGGAAACACAGAAAACCATTCCTTCAATAGCACAGAATAAAAACTACCATGGATTGGAAACTGAAAAATATGACATATAAGTTTATAGAATCTTCAACGATATATATCTTATTTGTGGAATATGGCATGGACGAATGTTATAATTAAATTATTTTTTTTTATTTCAATGTGTATGCAAACTTTTTTTTATGTAGAACATAACAAAGAACAGGTTAGTTGGTAAATGTTTTAGACAGTAGTTATAATGATCTTGTGAACTTTGAAAGCATATGAATTATTCCTATTTCTTTATATCGTGTTTTTATGTTAAACGAAGGAAGTGCAAGTATATGAAACTAGTTGCATTTTCACAAAAGTTTTTAAGCTGGATAGATGTTATAAAGGGAATTACGCCATTGTGCGAGAAATTAGCAAATGTCTTGGCATGGTCATTTAAGCCAACTCGACAAGAACGCCAGCAAACGTCTGGCTCCGTCGACATCGTTTTATTTGATTTATCGAAATTGCTTTAAACTTCATTATTTTTCCCGGTTCTACTTTATGGAGGAAGTATCATATGTATCTTTTCGTATGCGATATGAAGTTCGGCATGTTCGATGGTTATCAGCATGTTTTAGACTTCGCTTAAATAACAAACAAACTTTGTGCTTATATTGGAACTGTAACTCTTATACTAGTTAATCAGGTTTTATATGGTGGGTGTAGTCGACAAAGCAAAAAACAAAAAAAAACAAAAACAAAAAAAAAAACAAAAACAAAAACAAAAAAAACAAACAAAAAAAACATGTTCTTCCAAATCGGCTAACGTTATTCTCCTTTTCAAAATTTAAACAAAATAAGAGAATTACCAGGAGATACCTGCAAAAAGTACAAGGAGTAAAAAATGACCAGGTGTTCCGGAAGAGTTTGAACAAAGACACATGCTATATACTTTTATTTATCTTTTGACCTCGTTCCATCAATTTTGATTTTTATAATTCATGTCACATTTTTTCGTTCCATATTTTTTGTGAAGGCTATAAATAGAATATAATGATGCAAACACTGAACCGTTCTGAATCTTCCATCGTTTTCGTTTGCGTTCAGGATTGTCTTCCGTCTGCACATGCCTTGTTTAAACTGTAATTAATTTCTTTGAAGACCTTTACTAAATGTTCAGTGTAAAAGCTGCATTCAGATATATTTTGGTTCGTGTCTTTTGCATTTTCATTGTGACTGTTAGCAAATTATCTTAAAATTTCTGTGATGTGATAAAAGAGGTCGGAGTACATCATTGACAATGAGGTTGATTAATTTTTCTTTATTCAAGAAGTAGGTATAGATGAAAAGGAAGTGTAAACTCTTTATTCATCACTGAAGTTAAATGATTGATTCGTCGTAATGTTATAAAATTTTAACGAACATGGTCTACCAGTTAATGTAGTTCTGCGTTATAGAATATTTTTTATTGACAATGTCCTGCGCTCATAAGGCAGAGCAATCTGTTTAACAAAGCATCTGTTTTATTCATATTTTGTTAGTGTATCTATACAGTAATATGTGTTTTGCCCCTGAGGAAGCAAACGATTATTGGCATTGATAAGCAAATAACCAAAAATAAAAAAGTCAAAAGTAGTAATAGATGAAATCGAATGACATGATGTGAGTCTGTATACAGTCAACTTTTACGATTCGGAATTTCTAGCTTGTGCCAACCAATCATACAATGTAACAGTATAAGAAACTAAAATGGTATGTACGTCATCTTAAGATTACATTACTTACACTTTTAAAATGTTCCAGGAGTGATTCATTGAATAAGCAAGCTCTCATACTGCCTACGCTGTTCACGCAATTCAGAAGGAATGTAAAATTGCCAACGGCATGATGATGGAACTCTCTTGCACTGTTGCCTAGACGGCGGAACAAGTAATGGCTGTACGTCCTGTGCAAATACCAATAGATATATTAGTGTACGCATCATTCCATTTCCTTTCCACATAAGCAACATTTATCTCTTCTTTTTTTTTGTAAATTCATATTGCTACGTTTGACACTGGTGAGACTCTGACAAGGTCAATTTTCCTGCCATTTAATCTGTAATCGAGTCGGAGAAAAGTAAATTTGCTTCGAATTAATGCCTGGTTTCCTTTAAGACACATACATGCATTTCGTTCTGTATCTCCATCAAAATCAGGTCGAATTCAAAAATTGAAACAAAATGCATGCCTATTATGATATTTACGTTACACAAGTTTTAAAAGCATTGTCATTGCCGGTGAGACAGACATAATCATACATTAAAAGTGAAAATAATGATAGTTTATATGAGAATTTAAATTACGATAGAGATAAAAAAAAATCATGATAAGTGAAGATGTATCTAATGTCTATATGGGAGGGGGAATTTGCGAAGCAAACCTACATTCTAAATCACTTTAAATAAGCAATAATGTTATATTCATTTAATTCATTAAAATCCAAATAAGATTTCTTAAAATAAAGAGACCCGTCGGGTACAATAAATTACTATCGTTAGCACCAATAATATACTAATTTAAATGAAGCAACGTATCACGAATCTTTGATTTATAAATTCATGTGCAAACATAATAGTGCACACTTTGTAACCTCGGAAAGGCAAGTTGAGTGCGAATCCAGATTCTCAAATTCAGAACTGTTTATGGCAAAAAATCCCAATGATGCATGCCACACAACTACGGCAACCACTGATCAAATGACTCAGACATTCTTAGGAATGTTCTGACATATGCAAATCCATGTTGACGTAAGTCGCAGGAGAGTTTGACTCTGACACAGACGTTACCCTAAACCACCCAGAACATGTTCTTTTAAGCATCCGCTACATTAGATAAGGCCCTTCAATGCTTCATAATGCCATCTGAGACCATAATGCACATTTCGTCGAACCAACGACGTTGAATTCCGCTTAGGACAGTGTAATGTTCTCCCTACGGTTCATACGTTCACGACCGTGACAACCATAATATGAAATCTGTTAATCTCTCAGACTAGTCCCTGTTGGTGAATTGCAGAGGTCTCTTGCATCCTGCTACTCACACAACGCTATGAAATTGGAGCAAAGCTGGACGGATAAAGGGACGTCGTCGAGGTTGGATATTGGTCTCCCACAATCTGTTTCACATGTTTCGGAACTGATCCGTCTTTGCCAATGAATGCTTCTAGTGGTGTATAGAGGATTAGAACCATTTACGCAAAAGCAATAACCATACAGCTTATCTTGCTGCATGGCGTCACAAGCGTGCGTCTTGTTCACATGCGGTCGTGCTCGGATAGTGAAAACGCATTTATTGTATTAATGTGCACTCAAAAATCTTGCTAAGTTTTGAAATATTCCAGCATCTAACATACCGAACGTACGAAAAAGTTCATTTTCGCGCATACGTCTCATGTCCTTGGTATTTTGTCCCGAAACAATACCGATAAACATAAAAACGTTTAGTCTGTTCACTTAGTATGCGTTGCCAGTGTTCGAAAAAGAAAGAAAGAAATCATTGAAGACTATCAAAGCAAACATGTGAAAGTATTTCCCATTAGAACAAGGTTTGAACACTTCAAAATATTTTTTGAACCATGCGGCTTCTTTTTCTATTTTGACACACATATATTGAATACCGTTCTGATTGTACACATAGATAATAAAAAACTGACATTTGCCAGATGTAGAGGCAATACCTTTCGGCAGGTTCTCTTAAAATGACGATTAACTTAAGGCCAGGATTTATGTGATGAATGAGATGTGGTGTGGTGTATACCGGCTCTGACAAGGTTGCGTCATTCTGAGGAATATATTTCCAGTAATACATGCCCCAGAGATCCATTGGATCAGCATGGCCTGCAAATAAAAGGGAGCTTCAAGTGATTTATGTTTCGGTAAATGTATATCAATATGCAGGGTTGCAGCTAACTGAAAAGAAGAATAGCGGAAATGCAGAGCACAATATAAGACAGTTCCTATGGGATTCGAGAAACATGTTCCGTTTTACTCCCATTTATATCTATATGCAGGTACCACTGACGCTACACCATTGTTCACGAATGTTTTAAGCTTTTAATTGAAGATATCGCTAACAAATTGCACAGCATCAGAGATAACACACAAATACGGAACGTCATTTTGTGATATATCTGGTTACAACTTTCCAATTGAACAGGCAGATAATTTCAGTTGCTATCGACGTGATAAAAGTGCATTGGAACACACCAGTGCAATGTTAGATTATAGATAGTTTTGGAAATAGTTTATAGTTGAAGAAGTGATAGCATTTGATGGTTTGATATTGATACTTGTTGTTGGCATCTTATTTTGTTTATGTATAAATCATCAAAGCCTATTTTTATGCCAAAATGCAGCTGTTATAGATTATCAAACCACTAAAGGTCACCAGTGTATATGGATGTTTATTTGATAACTCGTGTATACTGTACTCGACTCGAACACATTTATTGCTATCGTAATATTTTGGCGCTGGTGATAGGATCCCTATAGGAAACATAAATCAGCAAAGATTAGCTCAGCAGACGTTATCAGAAGAAATAGGTTGAGATTGATCACAGAATCCAAATAAGCCTTTTATCTTAACTGTGGGCCCATCTGCGGCGGCTAGGATCCGGGGATTATTTTGGAAGGCTGTCTTATTTTAAAATAATAAATTCATCTGCATATTTAAAGCTGATTTTAAAATCAGTCAGGTATATATTACAGAAATAATTGAAACGTTCTGAACCAGACAAAGACTCTTCATTCACATCTAAGTCACATAGAAAATAGAACCCTTACCTGTAATCGTATGATGATATGATTCGTCAGTCATTGTATCAGTATCTTTCGAGTAGTACTTAAACCTGTCATTGGAGGATCGTGGTATTTGGACTTTTCTAGCGTTTCTAACGAGTGAAATGTTGTCACTTTTAAAAAGGGACACAAATTGGTCAAACGTTCGGAACTTTTGGCAATACTGTGCAAATGTTTCACCTACAACAAAACAAAGATAAAACATATATCATATGAAGTAGTTCTGACAGATACGAATTCATATTAAAACTGATTTATTTATCATTTGAGTTGTAACATGATGTGAAGAGGTGTTATTTAAATCTGGGAAATTCAAGGTAAGCAATGCACACACTAGATATTGTTCCCTTATCTACAACGAAACATGCAAACACAAAGTTTGCTTTGTGTCTCATTTTAAAGGATATTATATATTTCAAATAACGAGATAACGTAGATATTTTTTTTTTTTGAAGTAGGAAATAAATTTATATCTACATTTGCCATAACGGCCCCAACTCCAGTAGATTGTTTCTTTATTCAGGAAGCCATGGACGTCAACAATACTTGGATGCATGGTGACCCTTGCAAATAGATCCGTTGTTCCAGACTTTGCGGCCCCAATAATGTGGAAATAAGGCAAACATTTGAGAGATGTTTCACCATTACTACTATTTCGTTCATTCCAACAGGGATTTTGGTAGTTTTCAAGAAATTTTGGAGGTGTCTGAAACACAGTAAAAATTACAAAGTAAGTGGGTAGGCAACCTAATCAAAATCACATCTGCCTCCGTGCCTTGAGTGATGATGTTCTGACTAAGCCCCATGGGAATCACCGCCCAGGCCAGCTAAACGCGTTGCCGTATTTAAGACTGTAAAATGATTCACGAAATATATTATTAGAACATACCAGAGAGCTATTGAAAGACTGTGCTAACGAAGCAAACGAGAAGGTGTAATGTTTTTAAAGTATGTAACGTAATTTGAACGGAATCATAACAAAACAGTCAAGTCAGCACTTCAAAATATTTAAAAAGTTTGCATTGCCGGAGCTAACAGAACACCGTTTACGGTCATTTTGTATATTTCGTACTGGTCAGAATTAAGAAATATTTCAAGAAACTATGACATATGCTAACAAAGAGTGGTCAGTAGAACGGCTGTTTCAACTGGACATGAAATAAAATGCAATCTTATTTTGATTAAATCCTTTAAAAATTAGATTGTCGTAGACATCTGACCAAAAAAGATCTTTATTTTAAACAATTTCATTGATACAGCAATATATATGTGACAACGGAATTGTGCATCAGGCGGAGACTATTTAAGTCACAGTGGCACAAGACAAAATACATTAACGCACAATATAGTCATTCGATAATGAATATGCAATATAGCACAAGGGAAGCAACTCCAATCTTCCTTAATTTGGTTTCCTTCACTTAAATATTTGAAATCAAGAATTTATTGAGTTACATAACTTTGATATCTACTAAAATACATGAAAAATTATATATAATTTATCCCTAGGCTAAATATTTGTAAATATTTGTTGAGATTAGATTTCTTTTCAAATACAGTCCATTTCATTATCATCAAGGCCATCCCTTGATGAGGCACGGGAACGCAATCTCAACATATAATTACATTATGTAAAAATATAGATCTGAGTTGATATATACTTATTGTTTATATTTTACACTATATAGGAGGTTTCCTACCATAATGAATTAAACATTTAAATAAAAAAAAAAAAAAACAAAATCGTGAAAACACCAACTCGGCAACGTAATCATATTTCAGTCTCAAATTCCATAAAACTAGGACAAAATATGAACAAAAGAAAGATTTACACGGTGACTCCTGCAAAAAGTACAAGAATAAGACCAGGTGTTCCGGGGGAGTAAGCGTCTTCTTCTTCATCGACGACACTTAATTTGATACTTCATCCACGCTTCTCAGTAATAATAATAATGATAAATATCATTTATTCATAGGAATAAAAAAAAAGTGATATTGAATTAATGGAAACAAATCATAACACAACAAATAACACAGTTTACTCTTAATGTTTTAAGATGTGTTACCATTTGGAGATCGAATTAATTACACAGTATATAGTCACATGTTATAAATTTACATGAAATATTTATAGTTCTCTTAGAATGTTCGAAACCTGTTTGAACTACGAATGAAATTGGAGAAAAAGATACATCTCAAACCCATCGAGGATAACATCTAATGGTAGATGGTCATGGGTTTCATGCGCAATGTTTTGGTATAATGTGACGCGAATATCAGTTAAGGTCAAACAATCCAAGTAAAATATTATTTCAAAGCTAAAGCCCCATGCACATGATCCAGACTCTACAAAATTGTTTTTATGGAACTTATTATTTAAATTACTACAGTTTCTAAATTGCTAAATGTAATATTAATTTACTGTTTTGCAGTTATTTTAAATACATCTGTAACTGTGTTGAGACTTGATTTGGAGAAAATAATATTTTAATTAAGAAAATGAGTGATCATTTGGTAAATCTGTGGCAAATATTATTGAAACAATTTAACATAGATAGACAGAAATTATTAAATAATGTGGCTGTTCAACAAAGTGGGGGTTCTAACAGTACGGTGAAGATATCTTTAAGAGCTGTATCATTCAAATTTGGATCAATAATTTCTTTAAGATAACATTTGTAAGGATGGTTTCAAAACGTTTCGGCATAAAACAGTCAATATCAAACCTTTGTATAGGAACCAACTGGCAACTGAAACAACTTAAACAATTGTTACATAATTACTGAAGTACAATTCCAGTGGATGAGTCAAGTACCAAGTTCGAGACGTAAAGGGATCACTTAAACTCGGTGATTGGAAACGACAATTACGAATAGTTGAATGCCGATGCAAAAACGCTGATCAATGATTCTCTTCCGTATAAAATGAATCTCAGAAGGAAACTGTTAACTCTGATCACCAAATTGGTGACGGCATTGATCCTCAGGTCTGTGCATGATACTAGTTCGTGAGTCAGGTTAGCCATTACCGAAGTGTCCACACTTAGAAATGGTGTCCAACGATAATTGTTTTCTTTTTTAGAACAATAAGTATTAAAGTACAACATCAATGGTAAATGTATTTTACGTCGGTAGCCAATTCGCTCATCGGAAAAACAGAAGGGGGATCAATGCGATTGTTACATGTAGAAAAGCCTAGTTCCTAATTGAGGGTGTCACAGAGACCTTTTCTTATCTATTTGCTACCTTCAAAGAATACAAAGGATCAACACAAAACAACAAATTATCCATTCAGTTATAGTCTTCAAACGTAATGAAATACAATGCTATTACACGGAGTAAAACGAAAAGTGTTAACTAGAGTAGACGGGAAATGATATGGACCAATAAGAGTGAGTAACATAAGCTGAGCACTTGTTTTGCCATTGTTGTAAAAATGGAAACGTAAAGTATATTACAAACAAGCATACTGTATATTGCTAAAATAAAACCTTTCCCCTACCGACCCCACAAGCTATTACACAATGTGTGATGATATGTTACGTTAACTGTTATGTGTGAGATTTTATCAAATCCTGCAAGAAATGAAGCAGCTAGAGCCTTAATAGCTATATTCTACCCGTATAAATGTTAACTGATGTTGACTAATCCTGAAACTTTTCAAGACATTTTAGTGCATTAAAATGTGTGGGTTTTTTATGATAATCCGCCGCTAAAGCTCTGACAAGGTTTTGCTAAAGAAGCATGTGGTAAGTAACCTAGACTTTGACCAAACATGTTCCAAATGTTAAACATTTTAAATAAAAAATACGATTTTCTAGAAATAGTAACGTTTACTTTGACTTTGACTAAACGAAGCTGACACTGCAACTCGTTGATGAGTTTGATGAGAATCCGTCAAGGAATTAAGCTGCTAGAATGCTGGAAACACGTTTCTAAAAACAGTAACAGCGTTCTTGACGTTGACTCAACAACTCTGAACCCCGCCCTCACCCCATATACCACAAACCATCCTGAACCCCACTCACCCCATATACCACAAACCATCCTGAACCCCACCCTCACGCCATATACCACAAACCATCCTAAACCTTACCCTATATACCACAAACCATCCTGAACCCCTCCCTCATCCCATATGCCATCAACCATCCGAACCCCATCCTCACCCATATACCACAAACCACCCTAAACTTCACCCTCACCCCGTATACCAGCAACCATCCTGAACCCCACTCTCACCCCATATACCACAAACCATCCTGAACCCCATCCTCACCCCATATACCACAAACCATCCTGAACCCCACCCTCACCCCATATACTTCACGATAATTCACTAAACCATGATCACATGATATTGATCTCGTTACCAAGCAAACGGTTAATGTATCAACAGAAGTTCAACAGAAAAAGCCTTAGCTTTGTGCCGAATAGGTTAATTGTAAGCTATGTACTCTACGCATCAACGGAGTATTTTTTCATTATTGTATGTAGTATTAATTGAGGTGAAATTACTTCATTTATTTTCTGCTACACTCTTGATATATTTTTTTCGAAATAATTTGTCAGTGCTCACATTTCTACACTAAATATTTATTGTATCTTGCAGTGAAATATATGATGACATAACTTATAGAAACAAGTAGTGGACTATATATGATATTTCACAATAAACTATTTAATATCCGTCATGAGTTAGTATCTATATCTTATGACTTGTGAAACAGGTCAAAAACGTAAAAAGGCAAGACGCGGCTTGTATAGTTAAGCATGCGATTTACGGTTTTAACTGCCATGTCAAACACTGTATTACAAAAAAGACGTGCATTACACTCAAGTCAGAGGAAGCCACCAGCAAACTTTATCACATGATTATGATCCCATTGAAAGGATTTGTGAGATCATTAAGACAGGCTGTCAGACAAAATGATGTTGCTGTTCGACAGAATGTTCGTGACAAACAGGATTTGACCGAACGACAGAGTTTGGTCTTTGCCGATCTACAGCTTCCAGGTAAAATCCTGAAAGATCTGGTATATATATATTGATTTACTCACGGAATAAAACGTGTATCGTAGTGTAGATATGTTTGTGAAATTTATTTTTATTCAAGAATATTACGTTGACATTATATCATCTAGTTGTTGAATTTTCTTTCGATCATTTAAATTTAGGCCCTTATTAATTCAACATTTAGCTCTAGTTTATCTAACTCTTAATTTGTAATAAAAAGTGTTATTCAAATGCATTCATTTTTACAATTTTTTTTAATCAATTGGCTTACGAAGAGCTGCTTTTTTTTTTTTATTTTGTTCTATTTTTTTTTCTTTGTATTATTGTATTCTAGAATAGTGCGTACACCACTATTAACTTATATAAGTAATTGACATACGAAATCAGCATTTTTTTAATTCTGGAATAGTGCGTATATCACTATTAACTTATATAAGTAATTGACATACGAAATCAGCATTTTTAAATTCTAGAATAGAATCACTGTTGATTTATAGTAGTAATTGGCATAAAAACCCGCATTCTGTTTGTGTTTTACTGTTGTATTCTTCTAGAATAGAAATAGAATATATTGCACTTGTAAGTTAAGAGTACGATGTGACACGAATATCAATTTTACGATTTAATGTAGAAAACCATTCAAAAAGGATATGAATATATGCATGTGAATATGAGATTCTCTTCTGAATGGGTCTAAATAGTGACATGGTTTAGATTAAAGGGTAATACATCTGTATGATGCAGTTCAATAAATTATTGTTCTATGATTTGTCGAAATGTATTGCATATTTAAATTTGAACGGTGATGGTTACCTGTGAATGAGTAAAACAATGTATATATGACAACAAAGGTTAAAAATCATGGCAATAAAATACAGCAACCCATTCATTTAAAGAATCAGTAAAAGAAAACTATCTACTATTAATGCCAGCCTAAAACAACCCTAATCAAGTTTATCTGGAAAGATGTTATGGTGACACAATGTGGGTACCATCACATTCAAAGTAATTCAAAATGTAAGTAATAGTTTCTGTTGTCTTTATAGAACACATAATGGGGAACTTCCGGATATGGGGGTTCTGTTTGTAACTATCTAATACGTATACACAGTGAAATAACGAAATGCTAGGCTTACTTATACTCTACCTAAGAACGTATTATTCGATAAGTAATAAATATGTATTATTACGTTTTATTGACTTTGCAGAACATAGGCAGTTTCACTAAATTGTTCGCATGAAAAATCATATAGCAATTTAAAGAACATTGAGCATTTTCATCGGAAATATCTATATGACGTAAGAATATGTTTACAATAAAACACAGACAATATCACAACAAACATTGAAATTATCATCATTAGGAAAGTATAATATATAAAAACTAAGACACATTGCAGACTTGGCAGATTTTAAAAACGAACGGAATTGCTTCAAACACATCCAGCGATTATTGTTAGTGATCAAAACTGAAACATTATATTTGTTCCTTTGTCAGAAAGAAACCAATGACTTAGAAGAGAATTTGTCGAGTCGAAACTCTTCTGCCAATCGAACTGGATAAGGAAATTCTACAAGTATGTACCAATATGTTAAAAAATGCGAGTGTTCCATTCATTGCAGTAACTTATAGTGATTTGTACAAAATGCTGAGTACAGGTAACAATGTTATCTTACATGTTATAAAGGTTGTATTTGTTATTTCTTACCATACACAATATATCGTCGATTTTATTGTGCCTAATCTTACTGGAACAGCCGTACTTATGGTAGCCTGTTTCTTCCATTGATGAATCAGGAACTATTCTTTGGCTAAAGATCGGTCGGGAGTTCTGTAGTAATGGCCTTGCAATGCCCTTGTATACGTTATATGTATATAGGTACATAACGAAACAACAGACGATCCCACATGCCGCCACGCTGTTCACAACGCGTCTGTAAAATAAAAAGAAAGTACCCCTTAATAAAGAAGGATCGATCTTGCTGTCAAGCACTATCGAAGTTGAAAGAAAAGATCCAAGTTGGTTATGATGAATTTCATAAAATTGGAAACGAAGGGAAAATAATTTTACCTCTAATAAGCTGTCATCTTTGCGGAATTCAAATAGTAATAGTAACAAATGACAAAACAGTTTGTTAACAAAGTGATCTTTACCGAATACATGCCATGGTAATTGTCCACAATATAACACACATAAAGCTGGGTTTTTTGTATTTCTATGCTTTAAATAATCTCGACGACTTAGACCGTCGGTGCTTACAGCTTATTAGTGACCTCACTTAACACAAGGACTATTTCACGGATATCCGTCTTCCGTTCATTACAAACGTAGCAGAGTAATTCCGTAAAGTGGTGATTTTAGCGATCTGGAACATAATAGCCACGCGCGTTTTTACACACAAATAGCACATCGCAATTTATATTTGTGTTATCTACCATAACAGCTACAAAGAACATGAAATCACTTGCAAATAGTACGTTACACGAGATTGCTTTTCATATACGTTAGACTGAAATGAGTTACTAACGAATAGATTAAGTATTTATTTATTGATTTATCTATTTATTGGTATAAATTTAAGATATAATCAATAATGTGTATTGTATGCTAAGAGATATTCACTTACTCATCATCTTCTCTTTAGCAATTCGTGACAAAAACATTGGAAATTGAAAAAAATACCTCTTGATTCATTATTTCAAATATACATTTATCATGCACTGTGAGGATCTTATATAATGTAACTATTATTCCCTTAATATAATTACTTTAGTGTAGCCTATTGAGATTATGTTAACCTTCATTCATTTGATGACTTTTCCTACCTTCCATCCCCTACTATGATTAAAGAGTTCTAGAAGGATCATCCAATTATTCAATATAGCTTGATAGATTATTTTTTTTAGATTCCCGAATTCTTGATAACAAGCGTATTTAGATATTAAAGCATTTTGTACAATCAAACCTGAGATTTTAATAGATTCCGACCAAACAAAGTTATGATCATGTATCAATGAAAAAAATCATTGTTCATATATAAACAATAATTAAATATAACACACATTTTATAAAAAAAAAACTATTCCCAATCAAAGTGAATGTATAAATAATAATATTATACAGTATAATGCATACTTGCAAAGCCTACACTACTCATCTAAATGGTAAGAAAATATGGTGGTTCTGCCCTTATGGCTGTTGTTTTATCAGATTTAAAGTAAGTGCAAAATATATTGGCTGCTGAACAGTGAGACCCAATATTTGACAAAACAAAAAGTTTGGTATACGTAATCTTTACTTTCCGTGATACAACGCCAAGTCTTACACTGTAAGTCATAAAGTATGATTTGGGAGAAATTCAACCCCATGGACAGGTCTGGGCCTTATTTATTGGCGTAGTCCGTGCTTTCTTACAGCTCTAGGAGTTTATTATCAACTCTTACACCGGAATAGATACGGTGGACAGGAAGAAAAGACGACAGAACCCAGTGGTAAAAAAATCATCTTAAGTAAATGCCAGAGAACTGTCATTTCTTCATACCTTAGGCAAGCAATTCACCAAAGGTTTACAGACACTACGGCAACACCAAGTCGGTAGATATAAACGCGACCTTAGTACGTGTTAAGATGAAGGATTTCATTTTCATTTTTGTCCACTGCAAAGCACATATATACAAACAGATGCAACAGAGAGATGAAAATCCTTATTCAAAACACATCATACTTATCCCAGCCATAATCCCTACAGATGATTATTACACGCCGTACATAGTAAATTGAATTAAACACATACCTAATGACTGTCAGCATGAGTATGGCACAGTGATGCGGTACTACATTAACTTTACAACACATGGTTCAGCCATTTGCAATATAAATCTGACTTTCAATATCGTTTTAGTTTTGTTTTCGGTCTCCGTTGAGAGGTCCAGACACATGCTTTATAGAATTATCGATATGTCAAACGGTTTTATTAATAAACGTGGTATTCCCGTGATGTCTGGGAACCTTCAAGAAACGATTGCACCAGCAGGTTTAGACTTATAGCAGCTCTTTGGTAAGTAATCAAAGGGATTTTCCTTCCCTGCGTTTTCGTCGTGTTTGGCTTCTCATTGCTTCGGTAGTACAATGTAGCAATATAGCTATCACGCCCATCGCACAGTCCTGTGAAACAATCATATCATATATTTGCAAATTCTCTAAAATGAACCGTACCAGTCCCAGTGTTAATATTTATCGAGGTCGCCTTATGATTTGGGTTGAAATAGTATACGTCCTTGACACTTCTTGACTTTTGTAAATGAACACGGAAAACACATTCTTGCCGAGCTACCGAAGAGAAATCGAACTCGGGTATCCGGCGTGATAATTCACGTCTCCCAAAGACACGTGCTTCGTCAGCTGAATGAAAGAGACCGCAATTAATGACGTTTACACCTATTTATATGTAAGTATGTAAATGCTCGATGTTAGCGACTAAATTTGATGTAAACTCGGTTTAAATGTGAAGGGGAATGTAAGACATCTACATCTTATGTTACATTATGTATTTGCCAAGAGAATTAAATATATCATTTTTTTAAATTTACTTTTAGAACTATTATGTTGCTATTGGGTTTTTTTTTTATTAAAAACGTCCAAATATTGCCATCTACTGATTAAAGTATGCACTGCAAAATATCTCGCCATCATTTCAAAAATGTATAAAAGTTCATTGTTGGCACCAAGCAATATGTAGTGTCCCATATGAAAAAGCAATTCGACATAGGCAAAAACAAAAATAAACATTTCTTACACATTTAAAAGATATATTCAGATTTACTGCATCTATGAAATATTTTATACAAAACATTTTTCGTGAAATTGGTCAATTAAAGACTAAAAAATAGATATTTTGTTAGCGATACAGATATGTCACTTCATGTTTAGTTTAACAAATACAATAAATGGTGGTGTTTAAGTATGACTATGTTGATGCATTTACAAAGAGTCTCTCCTGTTTCATTAGTAAATATGATACATAATATCTACCACGTGAATAAAGAATCTCTCCTGTTTCATTACTAAATTTGATACATAATATCTACCACGTGAATAAGAACACCTTAGTAAATGTTAGGATAAATGATTAAAGGATAGATCGTACCAGTCATCCTGTTTTTCTTATCTATGACGTAAATAGAAAATCCGCGAAAACCAATATTCGTCGAAAAATTTGGATAATATATGACTAAATTCCGATGCCACCAAAAAGAATAAAAGATTTGACAAATGTATCGATAACTGTCAAATTCTAGAGACAACTGGATATTTCTTCTCTTCAGCATTAGAAAATACATATTTTAAGGTATGATATATGTGTTTCAATATCTATTTACAATTTTAAACCTATACTTACTGATGCATTCCTTTAACATAATATATTGGACTTAAATGTTCTTAAACACTTTGTTATCTAGAGTTTTGCAGATAAACTTAAAAATTGTCATTTTTATGATGTTTTGATTAATTTTCATTTTTGTCTACTTAAAAGACAGCGTCTTGACGGTATGATTTAATCCATGGCGGCAACAGTTTCAACAAACGTTTTGGAGTTGCCTCTAGAGTATAACTTTGTTTCATCATGACCAGTATTCTCGGAAACAAGTCTGCCAAAAAATAATGTCTTATAAATTTAGAACTAGTAATATAAATTTGCAGTTCAAAGTCCGTTAACTCAAATGAAAATAAGCATTTTCACATGATATTTTTCTTAAATCCAAGCATCAGACCCTCATCTTGTAATGAAAGACGAAATTTCATTTTCAAAAAAGAGAATGCCCATATTGTTCTGACGCCCGTACCGGAAAAAGTAATGCGGCAAGGTTTTTTTTTAATCTACTCTTTAAAATCAAAGCTTGCAATCTATTATCTTCAAGAAAAAAAGTCAACGTTTACTTTAATTCTCAGGGGAGTCCATTTTTAACACTATGAACTTACAATAACGTGGCTTTAGATGAGCATCCACGAAAACAAATATCAGACATATTTCGGTTGCTTTTAGACTTACATTCTCACAGGAGTAATGATTGGGAGGTTCCTTTTTATTGGTACCATTCATAAGGGAATGTGATAATAATTTAAATTGATAAGTCTGCATCTGCTGCTCCTGGCTGTTAAGTTCCCAGACGTCCATACGACAGCCATTACGTAATGACTGTGTGATATTTGTTTTCAATACTAGAATCTACTTTATTTATTTATTTCAATTAAGTTTATCAATATTTACACATTACATTAAAAGTAGCATTTATGCATATTAACTTAAAAAAATTGCTTCCTATTTCTATATAATTTGAATATCTAAATAAATTAAATGTGAAGTTGAAGTTAAATTTATTTGGACTACTTACAAGCTAATTACCGTAAGAAATTGTGACTTTTCATAAGATACTATCCTCACAAGTCATCATGCCGAAATTGTTTTCAAGTATTTTGGAACAAAGTTTCGGGAACACAGTCTTCTGCCACAACTGAGTGATTATCTACGAAGGAATATAGGACAAATATTTCCTTTTAATTCACTCGAATAGTCACATGAATAGAATTTGAACATCTACTTGACGTTGTTCTTAAATGATCAGATCTATGAAAATCACGAAGTTTATTTATTGAATTTTCCCATTCACCTCCTAGGCTTCAAAATTTAGGTCCTTAGCATAACTGAGGAGTCCTTGGCGAGTCCTAGAAGGAGGAAGATGAGGTTTAGTTCATTTTGGATTACTGTGTTACTAAAGTTGTATCAAAATGTGATATTCACGTATGTGCCTTTTATACAACCTTCCTTTTCTTACTAATGACTCACTGCGAAGTTCAAAATAAAACTGTATTTTGTACTGAAATTCTCCCTTTTTCGAAAAACCTAATACAACGAGACAGTCAAAAATGATAATG